CCAACTGGACTATATCTATTTATAATCCACATCTAGACGATATGAAACTGAGCCCTTTTGGACGAAAATTAAAATTTGAAAACCGTTTGAGATTTAAAAATAAAATTATGTACTTTTTCATTCCCCTTAATACATTTATTTCTTCTTTGTAATTATTTACTGTTTTATTAATAATCTGGAAACTTCTAACCATATTCTTTTAAAAACAAACACTTTCAAACATTACAAACGAGGCATTTTACATGGATAATTTTACGCTTTTCCTCATTTTCACACTATATCGTTTTTCAGGTAAAATCTGATTTTTTTCAAGTTCTGAAATATTAGCTATTTTCACTTCAGAGTGCATTTCATGTCTCACATATGCTCATTGCAAATTCCGATAACTTAGAAGGATTACAATTAAAATAGAAAATAAATGACTGTTTTTTTTTTTTTTTTTAAATTTCAGTACGTTTTGAAATAAGTTCATGAATATACGCCTTTAATCTTTAATGCTTCATTTTCTACATCGCAATTAAATATTCGAGAACAGAGCTTAAAATAATTTCGGCGTACGTCGAGTTTACTTCCAGATAACTGTTATATCATCACGTTTCACAAAGAAGGGAGACGAGAAAGAAAGACTTTTCAGAATTCTTTATATATAACTTATCTGACATTTACAATCAGTTACCTCTTTTTACACTACTATCACTGCAAACATCCCGATTTTTCAAGTCCATTACTTTTTTCTTTCTTTTTTTTTTTTTTTTTTTTTTTTTTTCAGTGGCGGACACTTTGCTATATCGACATCGGCTACTCCTAAGGCCAGATGCGGTGGTCTCTTTATTATGGAGGCACCTAATAAGTGGGCCACTTTCCTCCTATGAAGGGACAATCCTATCCTAATTGTCTGTCCCTTCCTCCTATGAAGAGACAGAAAATTACATTTCTACTTTCTTCGGGATTCGAACCCGGGTCCTTCGGTATCACAGTCAGACTACCCTAACCACTATACCGCCTTGGGGGCCTACTATAACGCCTTATTTTTTTTTACACTGCTTTCTAAGGACCCATAACAAAATCTACGACCTATAACAAAATCTACCTAATAGTTATATTTATTAATTTAATTGAAAAATTCAGCTTCGGCAACACTGATACTTTAAGCCGGAAACTTTTAAAAGAAATGTAATTTATATTGGCATTATAGATTGATTTTGCGCATGTAGGTACCATAGATTTAACCCACGTCATATAGACTTTGAACCATTTTCTGTAAGTTATTAACCATCAATGATTTGAATTATGATAGACTTAAATATTTTGTACCCATTTATTTCTATTTCATAAAAAACATATCTTTAATTTCATAATTTTTATCATGTTTTGATTTAAATTAGTAAAAGAATGAGAATCATTGTTTTGGAAAATGTTTTCCTTTAAAGCAAACACTCTTTCTTTAACGTATTCGATTCAAATATCCAGTTAACTATAAAGTCAGTTATTTTGCATTACATTTCTGGACAAGCGCCATGCTTTAATCTTTTTATTACTTATCATGCGAATACTTGAAAAAAATTTTCATTTTCCCTGCTTAGTTTCAAACAGTTTTTTATTAATTCGCAGAACTCTTTACACTATTTTCCAGAAAAATCTTAAAGATTGAATTGAGTATTTTATCACATATTTGGAAAGTTCTAATTGCATCCCAGTCAAAAAATAAAAATTAAAAAAAATTTAAAAAAAAAAAAATCGTACATTTTATACAAGATAATTTATACATTGTTGTATTTTTAGTGAATTTTCAAACCATTTTTTTCTCTGACATTTGGTTTTTAGTCAGTTACTAAAATGATTACTAAGCTTTGCTTTTCCCAATGCATTTCGCAAGTACATGCCGAGTCCAAAAATTTCTCCTTACTTACCAATGCAACAATTAAAATACATATATTTCCTAAACGTTTAAATATTTACTTATTTGGCAAAAATAAACATTAACATTCATATTTAATGCTGTAGGTTTTATTTTTTTACTTAAAAAATTTTCAACACAAGTTTTAAAATATTATCTTGCTTCACGAATTTACGCATTTATGATGCCATAGTGTTTTTTATAAATTTTAGAAGAGTACGCTCTTCATATTAAAAAGATGTTTGCTTTTTGCTATGAATGCATGTCAATGAATTTTCCAACACTTTTAATGTTAATTTTCAGTCTGAGTAGTTTTCGGAAATTTTTATGCTGACCATGGGCCGAGCAATAAAGACGCTAAACATTAGTAATTCGATTTGGTGTAAAATGCCGATGAAAGGGTTGCCTACATGGGCGTTTATGTTGTTTTCCCCCACGCGTAACATAGATTAGGTTCCCTTAGAAAGTCCTCCACGAAGGCATCTCTCTCTCTCTCTTTAGGCAGATAGCCTCATGTATTTTGCCACAAACAAACAGGTCAAACCAATGACTTTTATGGCGTGACTTTCCAAATTTAGAGACAAAATATCAATTTTTGAGCTAAATGTTTTTCCTTGAAAAGAAGTGTTTACTGTAAAAACAAGATAAACTAAGCCTTACTTCAATGAAAGTCACATTTTATAATTTGAGTTTAGTGCATTTAAAAGTTTTAACATTACTTACAGAAATCCTAAATACCCCTGTCACTTCTGTGAGACTTATTATCTATATAGTGTTGAAAAGCTAAGCGATCACTGCATAAATCATTCGGATTGAGGAAATAAGAGAAAAACTTTTCTAGTAATTATCTAACACATTTTCAGATTATATATGCCTGCAGCAAATGAGAGAATTCTTATCCTTTGAACTGCTTTTGCAGTTCATAGAAACATATAATTTTTTTTTTTTTTTTTTTTTTTTTTTTTTTTTTTTTTTTTTACATCTGAATTTTTATTTTTCTAAATTTTAAATGAAAGAAAGGTGAAATTATTTCTTTTATGTCTAATTCTACTCATACATAATTTTTAACAGTTATTAATGCAAGCTGTTCAATCTTTCTCGTGACGTACTTGTACATAAATAAGTCTTAATTTTACATTAGTTTGAAAAGCAATCTTTCACCGCTTGCAACACCAACAGGCAAAGTCAATGATATTCCTGAAGAAATGGACAAGTTCGAAAACATCAATCACTAAATATAATTAATTGTAGAACCCCAAAAGGATTTTGAGTTTAAATTTATCTTTGTAAATGTATTTAAAAACACATATCTTTTGTTTCCCTCTTCCCGAAAACTGTTACAGCTTTTCCATAGATCTTATTTATCAATTCCTGCGGAATTTTATAGGAAATAAAACTATTACTGCGAAATTTTAGTAATTTAAAACATCCATTTAAGGATATCAATTCAATGTCTTAAAGCGCATAAAATAAGCTAGCTCATTAACTTATTTGTATTCAGGCGTGTGCCGTGATTCGTCTTAATATTCGCTGAAGTGTCTTTTCCTTCATCGAATTTTAACGGCATATTTAAACTCAAATTCTCCACCTACATCTTCACAAAGATGTTTTTTTTCGAGGGGGGGGGTAGTTGTAAGCTTATTGTTGTGATTAGATTCTGATTTGCGTTCTGATAAAAATGTTTAGTTCTCGTCATTGAATTCTAAGACAAGTTCATAGATTCACAGATTTATAGATTTATTCATAGATTCATAGATTTATCTTGGAGCTATTTGCTGAAAGGGAATACTACTCCCAATTATCAAAGTGAAAATAAATTAAAAATATTTATCTTATAAATTGTGCGTTTCATGTTATATGTTTTTTTTTATTAAATATATTGTCATTTATTATTTTATAAAATGCATCCTAAATTTCTCACTGCTGATATTGTAGAAGTCCAATTGCATCGAGTTTGCTTTCCCACTAGGTTTCTGAAGGCTGCTTCACCATCATATTAAATATTAAAATTAGATTAAAAGAACTGTGCAACTCTTTGATGAAGAAGCGAAAAACGAATATTTAGTTAAAGATATGAATGAAACCTATTTAAACTGGAAACAGCAGAACAGAATAAAATTACAGGTTTGGAAAATTATCGAAGGGGATAGGATGAAATCCAGCCCAGTTAGATATAGATGAAGTTAGAGGCTTTGTAAACGAATTGGGTAATTAGAGGCTTTATTAACGATTTGGGTAAAATAGTAGTTGATTTAACAGTTATTTTAATTTTAGAGGCCAGAAGCTGAAAAATCCTTGAGGGTGCCATAATATGAATCTTCTGTTGAAAACCTTATGTTAGACCACCAAATGTTAGAGTCCTGCATTATATTTGAAGAAATTAAATAATGAAAATATCCGCATAAATGTATGTATATTTCTCGCATTGTGATAAAACAACGGTACATAGAGCCATCGAATTTTGAATGACACAATCCTCCTATGAATATGGGCATGTGGAAGACCAAACTTGAAATTTGAAATTTGTTTTATTATCGATTTCCTATTTTGTAAATTTTTGATTAATAAACTCAAGGATTTAAAAGTGAGCAATGGCAATGTTGTACTTAAAATAATAATAATAATAATAATAACAATACATTATCTCCAGCGCGCGAGACTCTGTATCTGAAATTCTAAAGATATGCTCAATTTAAAACTATTTTGCGGTATTGCTCTTGGATTGAATTTTATGGTTTAAGTGTGAAGAACGTGATATTTAATGAATAAAGGTAACAGACAAAATGTTAAAAAAACACCCCTTTGGACGTAATTTAAAATCTGAAACTTTTCAGATTAAATAATTTCTTTTAATCTGAAACTTTCAGATTAAAATCTGAAACTTTTCAGATTTTCTTTTTTTAATCATTGTTTTATATCTTTAAATTAAATAGAATTTTGTTACGAGACGCAATCATATATCCGTGATAAGAAATTTTGCACGAGCATGACTGGCAGAGAAGAAAATAAACTGCAGAAATAAATAGCCATTTATTTAGCTCTTTGAAAGGTATTCCTATTGCTCTCGCGTGTGATTAAGTACTTGATTGCGGAAGTAATAATTACTAATGATTTCAGCTTCTTGTTAGCTTTGAAATTTAATTCTGTTATTCTCATCGTGTATCGCATAGATTCGTTGCGCAGAAAGGGCTGAAATCAGTATATCTTAAATCAGTATATCTTATCGGAAATGATAAAGATAGCGAAAGAAATAGAATCTCTGTTATACTAAAAAGAAGCGAAGAAAAAAGGGTCATAAAATAGCTTCTTCATATTTTAGGATCTAAATGCTGTCGAAATTTTATAACAAACGTTTAAAGGACAAAATCGAAACGAAACAAAGAGAGAAAATGTGTTTTTCCTGGAACTAAAACAGGTAAACATTTCGAGATTTTAGAGAATTCGTATTGGCAGCATAATACAAAAAAGCAGACGGTTTTCTATCAGAATATGTAGTATTCGACATGAACTACGATTCCTGAGTAGACAAATGGAAAAAGAGTTTCTTGCTGGATGAGAAAGAATGAAATTACCTGCTAATTAAAAAGTTTATTATTATTATTATTCTTTACCTTTTCCTCTTTGCATTGCAGAACTTATCTGGCATAAAATCAAATGATTGTTCATTCGGAATTCATTATGATTGTTAGATTAGGAAGAATCAGTTTTGAAATATTCGATTGTCATAAGAGGCTTTCAGTGTTAAGTGTAGTACTTTATTTTGCGCAACGAATGTATTCTTGTGTTAACAAACCCAGTTAGATTTAAAAAACAGGATAATGAAAAAGAAGAAAAAAAATGACCCTGGTAACCGAGAGAGTTACTCACGCAAAGCGTAGGAGTCGTAGACAATTATTATTTCACTCCGGTTCTGAACATAATGTATCCGTTGACAGGCTTGTTGATGGTGTCAAACACAATACTCAGGTTTCAAGATCGAGGAGTTTATATTACAGGTTTTTCACCACTGCAGGGTTTTTCAGAATGCACAAGAGCACTAGAACTGGACTTATAGCAATTGCTATTTTGGTACGTATAGAAATACACGTTTTTTTCTTTTTTAAATTTAAAAATACGTTTATTCAAAATTAAAGATGGAATTTCACAGCTTTTTATCTTGGTTTTTTATATTAATTCTTATTTATGGTACATACTGTGATTTTGTGCTAGAAATGAATGAGTAAATTTTTTATTGAATTAGTGTTTTTCATTTATTTTTAATGCATTTCTGTTTAGGAAATATTATATGATGTTATGTGTATTTAAATTTTAACTTTTTCTTTCTCTCTTTCTCTTTATGTATATCTGTGTGTATGTATATATATATATATGTGTGTGTGTGTGTGTGTGTGTGTGTGTGTGTGTGTGTGTGTAGATGTTTTGCTTACTGTTTCACTATTTTATAGGTATGTGTTATTGTTGTTATTTTACTTCTGAATTTGGATAGCATAAAATCTAGTCATGATGCTTTATGTGTTAAACTGGATGGAGGCAAAACTTGTCATTCCATGGATACAAACCCTTATCGTTATTATGGAACAAAAACAGCATATCACGTAGCATTGGGGGATATTTTGAATTATCAATTTGATGTTGGAGGTGAGTACTAAACATTTCATTTTTAATCTGAAAAGAAAATGTATACAGACTGCCATATTTTATGAAAAGCGTTTGCAGAGCATTTCATTAATTTGAGCTGAAATAAAATTCATTGTTTTTTATCATTTGTGTTAGGAGATCTAATGTATAAGGTACTGTGTGATATATTCCAAATGTTACATAGCAGTATAATGTGTAGAAGCTACTCATTTCTCTGAATTCATATGTTATTTATTTTTTGAAAATTAAAAAAAAAATATTACATAGAGGAAAACTGAATAAACTTTAAAATATAGATTATTAGATATTCTTCTGTTACTGAGACCAGATTCAGAAATGTATTTATGTATGCATATAGGAATGGATATATGTGTTCATACATGCATACAAACATAATATGTATGCATGTGTGAACTTCTGTTATTAAGACCAGATTCAGAAATGTATTTATGTGTGCATATAGGAATGGATATATGTGTTCATACATGCATACATACATAATATTTCTGAATCCGGTCCTGATAACAGAAGAGTATCGATTATTTTTATATTCATGTTGGGAATTTCATAATACATTACAAATTATTAAATCAAATGCAAAAATTGTTCTTTATGTGTCACCTTCTTTTTCTTTTCTTTGTTTTTAATTGTACAAAGCACTAATAGCATTTCTTTCAATGAATATACTAGAGGGCAGTTAGTCTAAAATTTAAACCTTATTAATGCACATGTGTAGCATAATATTTTTGCTGTTTTAGGTATAAGTTTGGTATTACATAAATTTGTTAAAAAATCCTTTGGTTTTTATTAATAATAAATTTTTTTAGTTATCTTTTTCAGTCTTTAATCATGTTTGAAATGCTATGTTTATATAAATTTTTCATATATGTAAAATAATTCTTCCGAGTTCTTTTTCTTTGCAATTTGTTATACAAAGAAATGTAGAGAATTTTATTCTTGAATTCAAAATCTTTATAGTTAATTAAAGAACTTAACTGGTAAGTACTTATTTTTATGTTTTGTAATATTATGGACATTTAAGCTAATTAGATGCTAACATTCTTTTAAGCTAATATGAGCTTTTTAAATTTTTCTAAGTTTAATTTTTTAATATAAACTTTTTTAATATAAGAAGCAAACACTTACTTTCTTTTCAGTTTTAAATACTTGATATAAACATGTTAATTTCATACACAAAAGAACATTTTATAACTTTCTTATTGTTTCGACATAAAACTGTCTACCTTAGGAATTCCTGAAGATTTTCACTTATTGATGTAATAAGTATGCGAATGACAAAATTTCTGTTATAAAGAAGTTAGGTTTATAGAGGTGATTTGTATATAGTCAAGATTAAGAAGAAAATGCCAGAATAAATGACATTTTTTTTTCCTATTCTACAAAAATATTGAAGCCATTTAATGTCTTAAAAATGCAATTATGTTATAGTAATTCTTTACTTGCGAAAATTTTAACCTGTATCTCATTTCTGTCTCTGACTATAAAGTAATGCAATTATAAATTAAGCTTATTTAACTATATTTATAATAAGTATAAACCCTTTTCAACATACCTGGGAACTGAGGCTCAACTACATTCTGATTTCATATTTGGTATTTGTTACCATGAATAAAACATCTTGTTTGTATACAAAATTATACTCAGTTTAAGAATATCTTAATTTTAATTTCACTGTATATAAGAAACTTTAATACGGTATAGGGCCCAGTACATCTTTCTCAAATGCCCAATCAAATGCATAATGATTAAAAAAGATACAAACACAAATGATTATGCAAAGTACAAAATTAGTATTTGTTCTTGCCTTATGAAATATGAATTACAAAACTTATTATATGCAGAGTCGTAGCTAGGGTTTTCAGCGCCCAGGGACAACAAGATTTCGCACCCCCTACTGCTTGCCAAGGATGGAAAGCATTTAATTCTAAAATGTCGTAACATCAGTTTGGCGCCCTTTGGATTCTGTGCCCGGGGACAGATGCCCCCCTTGCCCCCCTCTAGTTACGCTCCTGATTATATGTAATTTATTTTTTCAGAGTGCAAACCTAAAACATTTTACCTGCTGAGCAGACATGCAACTAGGTATCCAGACAAAGATAATATTGTGGAGATCAACAATATTCTGCCAGCTTTGAGAGATCGTATTATTAACTCATCATTGTCTGGTAAAGGTAAAAAATTTAGATTTTTAAGTCTCTTATTTATGTAAAACATTTCTTCCCTTTTCTTTTGCTTTAAAATGCATGATATGATACATTAAAAGAAAATAAGTAAAGTTTTTTTGTTTTGTTTCCTTAAATAGTTGAAATATGTGCTGAAGATTTAGAAAAGTTAAAGAACTGGACCAGTGAAATGGAGCCTGAAAATGATAATAAAATCACAGATACAGGAGAGGAAGAAGCTGAAGAATTAGGTAAACATTAAAATTAAATCAGATTACATATTAATTTTTTTTTTTTTTTCTTTTCAGAACTGTGAATTATAGACTGGTAGCTAACTACCTGCATAAGTATTTAAAAAATAATTTGAAAGCAAAATAAATTTAATATTTAAAATAAATTTAATATTTAATTTTTTACTTATTTTGTTTGATCATTTTCATCTTCCAAAAAACACTATTAAAATTGCAGAAAAACAATAATAAAATTTTTAAATAATAATTATAAAACTGGTATTTAAAAATTTTATTAAAAGTTTTAACAAAAATTACTAAGGTATGCAGAAATGTACGTAAGACTCATAAATGACTAGAAGAGATACATACTGCTTAACCCTCCAATCAGTAAAGGATTTCTTTCTGAAACCTAAATTCCTCATAACTGCTATGAAGTATTTTTCTTTATTTAATGCCAAAATGCCCCTGGTTATATCTATCTCAATATATTTAATTTTAATATATATTTTCCTAATTTCTTAGTTGTATTTCAAGATATCTAAGGAATTAAGGAAATTTCCCTAGACAAAATTAAGAAAATTTCTTAGACATGCATATATTTTTTTAAAGATGTTACAAAAAGTATTCTAGGGCATATACAGCCTGGTAAGTCAGAGGGGTAACATACTGAGCTCCTAGAATGAAGATTTACAAAATCTGGCATATGAATGCTAAAAAGAATTAAAATTTTTATTTTTAGGCAAATTAATTGACTTATGTTATTTCACATGAAAAATGTATTTTCATAAAATTATTCTAAGTTTCCTGTCTAAAACATCATTTCCATCAGTAAATTATTAAACCATAACTGTGCACATATTAGATCTTGATATCATTTCTTAATTTGGCTGATTGTAAATGTAATAATATTTTGGTTCTGTTCTGTTATCAGGACCCAATTCAGAAATGTATGCATATATGGATGTATAGGTTCATTATTCATATTCATATACATGCATACACATGTGCATACATTCGTACATTTCTAAATCTGGTCCCGATAACAGAAGAGTATCGATATTTCTGTAGTTGCATTCATTGATATTTTATGAAAATGAGTAATATAAATCCAATTAAGCATAATAAACAGCGATTTTAATGTAACGGAAGATTTCACATTTTGCTCGAAAATTTAGAAAAATTATTGATCCTACATAAAACTAATAAAAGAAAACGCGTCTGCTACATGATTTTGGTAATGGAAAAAATGTAAACTAAAGCAAAATGATCATTTTATATGTGGTAGATATACCGGAAATACCGGGTATATACTTTCCGATTAAGTATTTTGTTAAAGAAAATGTTTATTTTATGCACAGAATTCGTACGAATGCTGAAAATAATTGTAAACATTAAATTCTTTTCGTAAAGGAAAGCATTAGAAAATGAAAAACAATATTTAAGTTAATTAAGGGAAATAAATATAGTAAAACAAGGTATTTTTCAATATTTTTTCGTAGTATTGTTTGCACTAAATAAATCTTGTTGAACAGAACACATGATGGCATAACTGCTAAGACCATGGTAAAAACATAATCAAAAAGTATTATTCTATTTATTTTCATTGCTCATGCACTTTCCATGAGAAATATATGATCGTGATTTTCAGTTTAAATTACATATCTCAAGCAAAAATATATATAAAAAGATTTGACTTAACAAATTCATATTTAAATACCATAAAATTCTACAAATTTCTTAATATCCGTCATTATACTTTTAAATAGTATACTTATCACATTCTTTTTAAAGTGAAAAGTCACTTCATACTGATTCACTTCAGATTTTAGCAGAAGTGCGTATATTTTCAGTATAATCTAAAAGTACTCTTATAATCCCTTACACTCCCAAGATTTCTATATAACATTTATCCTGACGTGATTATTTGCTATAGTAAATAATCTTCGATATTGGTATCCTATTCTTCCTTTCATACATTAAAAATGGAACAATTAAAATACATTTTCTTACACATATACGCACAATAATAATAATAATAAACTTGCCTTACATCTTAGTTTCGGCCCACCAGCGGCCGAGCGGTAAAGTCGCTGAACACTGGGTAGTTCGGTTCGAATCCCGCGAACGGGCTGGCTGCATGGGTGTTTTCGTGGTTTTCCTCATGCGTAACGTGTATACGAGCCAGTTTCCCTGAGAAAGTCCTCCACGAAGGCATCACACCTATTACGCAGATAGCCCTAGTGTCCTTTGCCATAATTAAATACACCACCACATCTTAATTTCAATTCAGTCTTTACACAAATTCAATATTTTTAATCACTAATGTATTTTTATTAGCTTGTTTCTTAAAATACTTTTGTTATACTCGAAATATGTGTTCAATATTGAATTATTTTTCTTTCTCTTATAATTAAAAACAAGTTATATGGAATCAAAATTAAAACATATGCAGCAGTTAAATAACACTGAACAGAATATCTTACTTTCTCTTTCGCTCTTTGTATTCTAGCATTATACACAGATTTGTTTTCCTTTAGGTTCAAGCATGTGTATTTAGTTATATCAATTAAATTACATCACACATACCTGTATGCATCAGTTAAATAACACTGAAGGAAATATGTCACTCACTCATTCGATGTTTGCATCATAGTGTGGTCGAGAAATTCTTCTTTCCTCACAGTGAGGCATGTATCAGTTTACTTAGTTCGTTAACCCAGCTGCTTCAATACATAGAGTTACGTTTGGGATGTAAAGAAAGTAACCAAAACATGTGAATGAAGTTGGATACGCAAATTTATTAACTAATCATTTAGGTACTCAGTATTGGTAAACATGACACTGAGTTTAAATATCTCACTACGATGTAAGTCTCATACACAAAATGAAGATTATGATAAAAAATGATTTAAAATGAGAAATTTTTCAATTTAAATGTAAAATAGCAGTAAAATGAAAAATAAATGTAAAATTACATCACAGTTATGTATGAAAACTACATAAATTCATTAAAAAAATAGTTATTTTATCTGTTGTAAAAAGTGTTTTCCGCCAAAAAACGTATTAACGTGTATAATTCTGACACAACGCTATAGCACAATTTGCCACTTCCGCTTAGGTATAATAGCAAATTAACAACACAAATCAAATCAAACTGTTGATGCAACGAAAGTAAACAAACGCCAAGAACTAACGCTGTCACCCACATGACGTCATGCGTATGTGGCATAACTTTCTCCCTGCACTGCGCATCGCTCTTGGGCCCCCCCTGATTCTTCAGTATGGCTGTATAGTAACATGAATTACACTCTGTAAGATAAAATGTCTGTATTGTATCATTAAATTAAGTTTGTTTATACCTGTTTACTCATTTGTCCCGATGTGGCATCATTTTACTTACATAAAGGCACTTATCTATTTATGTGTAGTAGTTGACTTAGGATATAATTTCTCTGCTATACATTAAACTTTAGGTAATGATATTGTATATCTACGAATGCTTAGTTTTAAAACTAAGAATGTTATGTTTTAGAATTGTCTATATGTTTTTCTAGAATCTGGACTAATTTATTTATGTTATGGATGTACTATATCATAGTATATTTAGAGGTTTATATGTATATATATCAATTTTAGCAGTTGCAGTAGTACAGCATATGTTTTCTTATCTGAGTCAGTTTGTGTCATGCAGGAGTGAAACTTTTAGTTTTATTTTTTATAATGAATATAAATTTTTTCTAAATAGTACTGTGTGGACTGGGAGAGTATAAATTTCTGTATAAATAGTTAGATTTAATAATTTTTACCAAACTGATTTTAAAAAATTAAAAATACCATAACACAAACATCTGAAGCATTTTTTTGTTTTGTTACTGGAAATCATTTCTAAGACTAATGGTTGAGAAAATGAAGGCTAAGTTAGAACTTTTATGAATGTAGTGTGTATGTTTATTTGCTTTTCGTTATATGTGTACATTTATGTTAAGTTTAGGATATTTTTTTAAAAAAGAATACTTGTGTACTAGCCTGGAAATAAAATATTTTCAAATTTTAATACTTTCTATCATTGTTTTGGCCTTACTGTAATACTGTAAGTACACTGAAAGTATATAGAAGCTAGTGAATGAAATACACTATAAGTACGAGGGCTATCCAGAAAGTAGATTACGTTTTGGAATAAAAAAATAAACAAAGTATAGGAAACAAATTTTATTATATACAGATGAAAGCCACACTCAAATACTACTTTTCTACATAGTCACCATACAAATTAAGGCATTTATCGTAGCGATGTACGAGCTTGGAAATTCCTTCGTCGAAAAATTCGGCCGCCTGCGCCTTCAACCACTTCGTTACCTCTTCTTGCCTTCCATCTTGCACAAAACTTGTGGTAACCAAGCTTTTCGCTGATGATTTCGTGCAATAAACTTCGCGAAATTTGTGGAAAACTCAAAGAAAGTTCCGTTATTGTGAAATTTCGATTTTCACGGACTTTAGCATCGACTTTTTCGAGAAGTTCGGCGGTCACTATGCTGGGTCTCCCACTTCGATCTTCGTCGTGAACATTGGTTCGGCCATTTTGAAATCTTATGACCCACTGACGCACTCCACCTTCAGTGATAATGTTGTCCCCATACACTTCACGAAGCTGCCGATAGATTTCTATCGGTTTACAGTTTTTTGCAGTCAGAAACCTTATTACTGAGCGCACCTCGCAGCTCGCGGGATTTTCAATTAACGCAGACATTTCAAACCGTCACAGTATCTGAACGGAGCACAGCACGAACCTCTCACTAGCACGGCTAGATGCAGACTGAGCTGCGCAACGCTCTGACCCCAAGATGGCCGCGCTAGCCCCGCCCCTAGCGGACACAAACGGAAACGTAATCTACTTCCTGGATGGCCCTCGTATGTTGAAAATGATAATAATAAAATTACCCATAAATATTGTTGTCTCACTAGTGACCACCAATGCCTGAACAATTTAAAGCTTCAACAATGTGGCAACCCTGGTATGCCCATAGTACATGTCTTTTTTGACTGGTGCACAATGTTGAAGTTGTATGGATGGTGAGTGTATGCAATTTCTCCAGTGTTTTTTTAAGCTGAAACAGATCACTGTGTACCTGGGGAGAATAACAGTACGAAATACATTTGCGAAAGATTTCTTGGGAAAAGTAATTGTTTTATTACCAATGTTTCTTGCTTTGTAAATTTTTCTTGCAGTATTATTTATTGATATCTGTTTTATGGAACTCTTAATATGCAACCATTTTGAAAGTATCTCTTGCCTTTTGCAAAAAATTAGTCATTAATGAATTTCTCAATGCTGGTGAAGACTTTTCAGTAGAAATGCAGATAATAAAAAAGTATTTTTTTTCTGCCAAGTTTTCTTTTGTTAAGTTTTCTAGTTTTCTCCCAGGTTGTTTAATTGTTATTTTGTAGACTGTCCATTAGCCATCAAGCTTTTATTTTTTAGAAATTGAGCTGAGAATTTAGAATGAATTTTTGTGAAATTCCATTTCACTTGATTGTTTAAAAAATGATTTATTTATTAAGAGTTTAATACTTCATGTATATTTTGAATTAATGAGTTTGATTTTTTCCCCTACAGCACAGCGTTTGAAAAGACGATTTCTTGCAGTATTAAATGAAACTTATTCACCTGAGAAATTTATCATTGAGTACACTAGTAGAGAAAGAACTAGAAGTACTGCTGAAGCTTTTGCTAAAGGATTATTCAATGAAGATTGTAAGATCATGCAGCATATTTTTTCTTTAACAGAACTTATTGTAAAGGGTTTTGTTTTGTAAATTATATTATTTATGGATGAATTAATGTGACCCCTTTTTAAAAAATTACATTTAAAAAGTATTTTTTAAATGTTTAAGACCTGCAACATGTTATGTTTCGTTTGCGTGCTGAACTTTAAATTATAAAAGAAAATTGAGAATTTCTGTGAGCTGTTTTCAGGTAGATATGAAAAAGCTATTGATTTGTAACATTAACTTGCCTGATGAAATGTTGAGTATGGGAAAGCTGCCAAAATAAATTGTTTTAACCCTTTGTTGCATACAAATAATCTAGAGAAGTTAAACGAAAATGTTTGTGTTTTTCTACTTAAAATAACCTTAGTAATAATAAAAAAAATTAATTTTATTCAAATTTCATTTTAAGTAATTGCTACAGTTTGTTCACTATAGTGCACAACATGCATATACATACATGCATACAAATCTCTTCCCAACGATTTACGGTGATTGCATTTGAAATCATTTCCTGCCTTGTTTGCAGTGATCATTACCATCTTCTAAATGGTAAATCTACAATTGACATGTACATACAGATCCCCCAAAATACCTTCATTTCATCGATTGTGATTGAATTCATTTTGCTACGATTTTGTAACCTGTACCTATTGGATTCAAATGTCAAATATTCTAGAAATTCCCTGCCAAACATAAATATTTCCAGTGGTATTTTGGCTTGATAAGCAGTATATTTGGGTTTCAATTCACTCTTTTCGGTAGATCTTTAGCTATCCACTCCATAATTTTCTCAAACTGACATTTAAAATAAAATGTCTAAAATTACTAATTATGAATAAAAAATGACAGTATAAGAAAATGTAAGCAATATTATATAATGTTTACTATGAGAAATTTTACTAACTTGGAAACAGAAGTAACAACCGTTTTCCAAATAGCAATGCTTTACTTAGTGATGCTATACAGCCATCTATGATCGACAGTTGAAAGTTTTAATAATATAGAATGAATAAACACAGGAATGAAATCTGTTAAGGCATTTACAGAAGAATAAACAAGTTTAAACTTTTGTCTACTAGAGTAGACTTGATGCAACAAAGGGTTAAATATCATATTATGCTCTTTTATGCATTAAATGTGAACAAGCAAATTTATATTAATTCTTCAGTCAATTTGAAGTGTAAGGAAAAATAATTTAAAAAAATAAAGAAGAAAGAAAAGAAAAGAAAAGCAAATGCTCAACACCTATAGACAAGTTTACCATATGCAACAAGTAATTGTGTATGGGAAAGTCCTTAAGCTTATCTTGGTAAATTGTCTTATGATGATTTAAATATTAACAGAATTTGCATTTGCTGTGCTATCCATTTGAAATAAATTTAAATATGCAAATGAAGGTGATAGAGATTTAAATTACATCTGAATAAAATGAAGCAAAATATATAGAAAAATTGTTTCCGAACTGCAGGCGTTAATCTGTGATACTGCTGGTGCTCCAACTGGTTGAACCTTAGCTTTTGCATTTCGAGGAACCTAAATAAGGAATATGAAAAGCTCATATATAATTCTGTTTCAGTTAGATTTTTCAGTTACAGCCCATATCTGTCTTCTTAAGTAAATGTGATTTTTCAAAATTTCAGTTCAAAGTATTATTTAAAGACTAGATTTTAGGTAATAAATGAAAATGTGCTTGTTAATTTATGAATTTCATAGTTTCAGAATAATTTTAACTTCAAATCTTTATATTTGTGCTGTAATAATTAAGAAGTTTTAAATCTACAGTATTTCCAATGCTGATGTAAACTCTCAATGAAGATGCAGATTATTACGAGGTAGTTCCTTATAAGTATTTTTATTTGCAAAACTTATTAGTAACACTCATTTTACTATTTACAGTAGGAAATAAAATAGTAGTTTTTTTCTTATTTACTTTTTTAAAAATTATACTTTAAATTACTTTTTATTGCTGTAATTATTGCTAATATTCTGTGTGAAAGTATAATTAAGAAGATTACTAAATAAATGACAGATTTGTTTATGTAACATATAGATTGCTGTAATTCAGCAAACTACATAATTTATCTTTTTTACTTGATTGGATGAATCATTATAATTAATTTATGATTGATTGGGCGAATCATTATAATTGATTTATGAATTATATAATTAATTTATGATTTTACATTAAATTCTGAGGATCTTCTTTGTGACAAATTTTATATATATTCTAGATAAAAATATTGACTTTGATGGAAAAACAAATGACCAAGTTCTACAGTTTCACAAAGACTGTAAAAAATTACAGGTATTATTTATACTATATTTCATTTTTGATTCTATTACTTAACATAGAAGTTATAAAGTGCTGAGCATGTGTAATATCAATTTTTTTCTGTATATTTTAATAAAATACTGAATTTTGCCAATTATTAAACCTCATACTATTACGTATCTCTTGTGTTATTTTTTAAGATGGTAATATTTGAACAGTGTCTTAATCAACATGAAGGAAGTTAATTTATGTGTGTTGACTACATATAGTATTAGATTGCTTGTCATTTTTATTATGTAATCATTATGTTTTTTTTGCTTGAACATTATTATAGCATAGGCAGATAAATACCCCCCCCCCAATTATAGAAGGTGATTTCAAATTTTTAGTTTTAAAAGTTTGCTGAATTGAATGATAAGTATAACTAAAATTGGAAGATATCTGGGTTTTAATGTCTAAACAAGGAGGTGATAATGTTGCTTAAAAATATTTCTGTATAAAAGTATAAATACTATCTTAATGTCAGAATGCTTTCTACATACTTCCATTAGCATGATTCAGTCACACATAGTGGACCAGGTTTTAAGCAGATGGCCTTCTCAGTCTTTGCTACCTGTGACCCCTTCTTTGGAGAATATGTGGAAAATTAAGTATTTTTGTCACCTAAGTTGGCAAGCCTGATCAGATTTTAAAAATTGCGTTTCTGCTGCTTTAAAAACATTTATTATTAGCATTCTGAAACATGCTTGACAGGAATTTTCACATTGAATTGACATTCATTATACCTGCAGCCAAAGACTATCTTGAACATCTATAGGGAAAACTTCAACATTTTGCCTTTTACATCTGTGTATTACTTAGCATTCTGTGTTGTTAATTTATTAAAGTCTAAAAATTTTAATTCAGATGATTTGTTTGAATTGCCACATACATTATTTATTTTCTAGGAATGTAGATACATTTGTTAAATATAGCCAAACCTCTATTTAGAAAACTCTGAGAATATTGCAAAAAACTTCACTAATTGGAGGAATTTGCAAAGTGGAGGTTATGATAAAACACGATTGAAAATAACAATTTTTTTTAATTTTAAATATAATACAAAATATAAATGAAAGACAACTTACATCATTGCAACCATTCCATCAGTGTTACACATAATTACGTAAATTAATTTTGAAAAATAATCAGATATTTCAATTTGTTTTGATTGGCAAGAGCAACATTTGATGTCCAAAGTTTCAGATCTTTGTAATGCTTGAAAAATATCTTCCGGTTCACTTTCTTCAAAATGAAAACTGCACTGTAAGGTATCAAATGCATTTATCATTTCATCTGGCCAGGATTTTGTACATTCATTTAATTTATGTTTTAATTTTCAGCCATCACTTTCTGGCTCCTATTTTTTTATGCTCTTGAATATGCCTTCTTCAGTAGGAATTCCTATGGTCACAACATTGTTATCTAAACCTTGTAACTGCTCTTTATTCTTTAAATGCCCTTGATTTTGCAGCTGCAGCCACATGTTATTCATTCTCTCGTCTTGCCCATTGTCGTCATTGACACTATTATTATCTGTGGTATCAATTTCAGTGATAAAACCAGCTTTTTTGAAGCAATTGCAAACAGTTTTTCTAGTGACTTCATAATTCCATTCTTTTACGAGTTCAGATATGCAGTCACGTAAACTTATTATAACTAAAGCTGATTACTCTCAATTCCCATTAAGGCCTTATTCAAAATTTTTTCAGTTTCCTAACACTTTTTATCGCCTCTTGATTCATAGTACAGTCAAAAGTCTTTAATCCGGACTCGTCGGGACTTCGGCGATTCCAGATTATCGATTTTTCCGGATTATAGATCATCAGTTTAAATCTGGTAAGATGGCATGCAGAAGTTATAAAATTAAAAATATTAAACCGTAATTTATGAAATAAAGAGCAATTATGATCTAAAGGGTATCAAAATTTACAAAAAAAAAAGCTTAATATTTATTTGTTTTCTTTATTAAACATTTCTTTCAACACACGCATGCATAAAGCATACATTACGCATAGTTGAAATTACAAAATTGCAACCAGAAATCTATTTGATGTGTATTCGTGATATTTATAATGACGATTTAAATCATATTAAAGACGAAGTACATCGAGAAGAAATACTGCATTTAATAAGGAATTATAAGCAGAATAAAATAAAAACATCTGCTGTGAAGATAAGGACAGTGCTGACAGATCAACTACCAATTCATTGTCCCCCCCCCCCCCGCAGAGCAGCGTGAAATTGATAAACATATTTCGGAATTGTTAGAGAATCAAGGATTATCCATTTTTTGCAGCAATTCCACTTTTTGCTTGATGGACATCGAAACATGCTTTCGCTTTGTATATCCTTTGGTAGCTCCAGAATCAGAAATTCTTTTTGACATAATCGAAAGTTCAAGCTTACTTTTATAAAATTGCTCTAACAGTCTGCAAAAAATAATAAGCCGGATCCATTTAGAAGATTAAGGAACAACGCAATCTGCAACATTAACTGAAATAGATAATTAGATAATTTTAGCATAGCTTATACCGTCCGTTATACATTAAACGTGCATGCGTGTACGCATGCACAGAAAGTTTGTAGCTTTGAGGTCCGGATTATAGATCATTCCGGATTTTGGGTGTCCGGATTAACAACTTTTGACTGTATACCATTTTACAGTGGTATTTGGAAGAAAGAAAAAAAAATTATACTTGTCTTTGTTATCTTGAGGGTGAGTATTGTAACTGTCTTATGGTAGAGCAATTTTTTGTTTCTGTACTATTTAGTAGTTGTTTAACTAAAAGTTTTTTTTTTTTAGCTACTTTTCAGAAATGTCTGAGGTCATCCAAAAGCTCATGTTGAAATCACAATCTACTTGTTCTCTGCAGTAAACATTGATAAAATAAGCTAGTTTTGTTTGCATTGAAGATTATATTTTGACTTGTACATTTCCATGATTTCTTTTAGTTTTCAGTCTTTCAGTATGATACTTTGTTCATTAACATCATTCCTCTCAGTGCATATGATTTTTGAAACTGTTGTAGTTTTTTTTTTTTTTTTTTTAATCTCTCCAGTCACCCATTGTTCATATAAAATGCACTCTGAGCTAAAGCTTTGGCACACTCCATAGCCTTTCCCAGTATCAATGCCCTGATATGAGTATTTTTTTTTCTTTCACTGTGCACAGCCATTTTAATGTTACTTTATCAACATCTTCATAAACACACATTTTCTTACATTTGATGCTTGGATTGGTGGAATCAAAGCTTGACAAAATTTTGTCCCAACTTTTCAGGGTTGTCAAGAAACAATTTTGCAAAATATCAAATTTTATGACAATATCTTTCTTCTTTGCATTTTTGTCCATTTCGTCAAGAATCATCATTTTTTCTTTAAAAGTAAAAAGACACTTCCATTTAGCATTTTTAGTGGAAATAAAAATAACATGCAGCTGTTGCTTAACCTTAAAGTTGTTTTCAAAACAAGATTGGTTGGAGAACTTTTAACAATAAGGTGAGTAAATGCTTTCTCATTCGAGAATCTTGCTACATCTCACTTCATCCCTCTGTAGAATGGGATGTAATAAGAAATAACAAGACACCTGCATTTTTTTAGGACCACAGCTACATGCACCTAAGTATCACAGCAAATGAATAAATAATTTTAAAGCAGAAAGATCTGATCTTCAAAATTTATCTATTAATAAACTTCATTAAATAGAGAATGTATATTGCTATTCAGAATTTTTTTATACAAGAAAATTCACACCTCAGCAGATTCCTGCAAAAAATTTCACTAAATAGAAGAATTCATGGAAGTATTCTGATATGCACCCTCAAGTCGCCAAATTTCTCGCCAAACATTTTTGGCGAGAAACTCTATGCTGCCATATTACTGTCTAAATTTTTTGTCTACATTTCAAACTTTAAGCCTACATTGTCTCCAAAAACGCGGATTTCGCACATGCAAACACCACGTTTTAAACACACAATTTTAGCTAAAAATCTGAAACAAAAACAAAAAAATTTAGATAGCAAAAACGTAAAATTTCTAACCAAAAATATTTGACGAGAATCCACGTACACAGCGATATGTTTTAACTTAAAAAAACATCTACGAATGGCACAATCTAGGCTATGAACTACGCACACCTCGCTTTAATAAATTAACAAAACAACAATAAATTTCAAAGAATACCATGTACACAGCATCCTGTTTAAACTTTAAAAAAAATCTACGAATTGCACAATTTAGGCAACGAATCTACGAACTACTCACATGTCGCTTTAATAAATTAACATAACAACAATAAATTTCAAAGAATACCATGTACACAGCGTTCTGTTTCAACTTAAAAAAACATCTACGAATTGCACAATCTAGACACTACGCATTAATCAACAAAATAAATTTCAAACAATTAAAAAAAAAACAACAATAACGACAGAAATTCATACTAAAAAAGCAGTTTACATAATATTCTACAAAATAAGAACAAGAATGAAATAAAATGCACGTACCATGAATTAATGCTTTTTTCGAACAGCAGAAATACCAATTTCATACCGCCTTTAACATGCCGCCACGTAATCACTATTGTATTTATATGACAGCCAGACACACTATCCAGAAAATTCATACTATAGTTCACAAATAATAACAAATCCCTACTTCTATCATGCACAGCCACTAAAAATAATCTCCCAGACCCTCTTTCCACTCCTCCAAACGCCCACTGCCCCTCAACAGGATGGCCACAATGATATTTCCTTTTGCCGAACTTCAACAACTTTCACCATTTTATCTCAGACACAGACCAACAAGCTCCAGCGAAAGATTTTGCAATGTCAACAGGGTTGCCATACAATACACAATTGCGCCAAAAACCAGCACAGAACAAATATTGCCACATTTGGTGAAATTAGGGCATACATCAGAGTTGTATCGAATTCATAAAATAGAGTGTTAATTAAAAAAGGATTTTATTGTTTTTTTTTTTTCCATCTGATGTTTGATGCAGAATGAAAGTGCTGCATTTGAGTGTTTCACAATTATGGAGAGTTTTGCTAGGCCTTGTTAATTTAAGTTATCTAGTAACTTCAACACAAGAGCTGCTGAGTTTAGATACTTGCAATGCACATTTCATTGCAATGCTACATGTTTTAGAAATCAGTTCTGAAAATTTTTTTTTGGTTAAAGAGATAGTGAGGATTTTGCTGAGAGGCTCATTCATTGCGTAAAATGTATGGTGCATGCAAATGAGTTAAATGAGGCTATTGTGTGCAAAATAATTATACTGGCTGCATTGACAGGCAGAGACTGCCGAGCAGATTGTTTCCAGCGTATGTGAATTTTTTTTTAAATTTTAGTTTTTTGGGAAAAAATATTTACTCTTCCCCCTTTCTTAACAAAAGAAAACAAAAAATATTAAAACCCATCCCATATAATGATAATATACTTGCAAAATAACTATATTATTAACTTGCAAAATATATATGTATATTATAGTTTGTTAAATGTTGTATCTAAACGTATTGCTTTAAATATATGAATTAATTCAAATAAAACCATTAAGTTTAATCATTAAAATGATATCAATAAGCAAATTTTAAATGGTTTTCTTGGACTATTCATATAAATTGCTTTTATTAAATTTGTATGAAGCATATTTATTAATTAGATTATTAAAGTAGTATGAATATTTTTAACTGCAAATTTGATTTCCAACTTTTAGTTTTTATTTTTAAAATTTAATACTTTGCTAAATTGTATTTTTCACTGCAGAAAAGTTGCAAGGATGCATCGTATGATATTTCTGAAATAGAAAAATTTGAAAATGGATCAATGATGCAAAAAGTAATTGATAGTGTATCAAAAAGAGTTGGCTTTAATGTTTGTAAAGGTAAGAATTTAAATATGATCTTAAAATTCATCTACAATATGTTTGTATTATAGCAGCTGCCTTGGAAGAAAATCATCATCTCTGCAATTAATTACCAAAGTTGATTACCAAAACATGCTTGACAGAAATTTTCACATTGCTTTGACATTATACATGTAGCCAAAGAAAGCTATCTTGAATAATCTGTAAGGAAAACTTTCCATCATTTTACCTTTTACATCTGTGTGTTACTTAACAATCTGTGTTGTTAATTTATTAAAGTGTAAAAATTTTAATGAATGCGTGAAAACCATTTCTACTTAACTCCTAGGCAGGCAGTGTATATATTAAAGTTATCAACTGTTTTTTTTTTTTTTTTTTTTTTTTTTTTTTTTTTTTAGTGCTTCTTGTGTCATTTATCGTAGGTGTTTTTTTTTTTTTTTTTTTTTTTTTTTTAATGCCTGGATGAAAATAAACTGTAAACTGTAATACCTTTATAGAAATTGTAGTCAAAAATCATCAAACCAATTTCTAATTCAAGTGCCTTTCTTCTTCCTGCAACTTTAAGCATCGCATTTCCAAATGTTTCTGCAACCATACATGAGTGCATTTCAGATCATTTTTGCATATTTTGCTATAATGTTAAATTTCTTTTCTTTGAAAAGAATATCATGTACAGCTTGACATCTTTTTCAGTCATACTTAGTTGAATTTATATAGTGTCATTGCATAGAAAACAAAAACCGTTTTGAAGCTATGTTGATAGGAATTGCAGATCCGCCAGAAACTACATGTTACACTTAAATGAGAGATTTTTGCAAGAAATAATTGTGAGTGTATTTGTTACTTATACATTTTTTAAAAATTTATTTATTTCTATGTGTTTTCTGCTTGGCACTTGTTTTTCCTACATTGTAACTTATGCTTAGCAATTTTCTTTCATGTTGGCTGCTATGACACAAAAGTACCAGTGTTTTGCATATTTGGTGTCAACAAAATTAGTTCACAACATATAAATAGTTCTTAGTCAAACATGTAAAATGATGGGGTAATGGCTTTCCATTATCCCATCATTTACATGGTATAATGGAAAGCCATTATAACATGTGTTAGCTTTCCATCATTTACAGAGGTGGTTTAAAGCACTCATGCAATACATATACTATGAAACCTGAGAATCAAACTGTTGGGAAAAATCACATTACTAATTACAATTATTTAACCACTTTATCAATGGTGACTTCTTATGATATATGTGATAATGTTATTTGCCTTAGTAAATCAAAATGTCCTGAAGAACCATCTAATTAAAGTACAATTGATTGAGTTAGCAGAGATACATCATTACCTTCAATCAAGTAGAATGGTCCTATTGACAAATCACTGTCAGAAGATGCAGAGCAATGTCATAATTAACTATTGGTTCCTACAAGACATTCATAACTGCCATGAGATCAGCATCAGGTCTGGAATAATTTCTGGAAAGGATTGTATCATTAAATATCCTGACAGCTTTGCTATCTTCAATTCAGAATCACTTGTCCATACCTCCTGGATAAGTAGTGCCACAAAACACCAATGTAGTAAACCTGGTATAAGACTGGATGACTCCATTATGAGTATCCATTGTGACATCTAATGCTCAACTAATGCATTTTACACTATTTCTTTCTAACTGTTGTGATGGACTTCACAAAGATAGAAAATTGGTGTGTGCAGTCCCCTACGAAATCTTCGAGTTGTTATGAGATGTGCAATGACATGATGTGACATTGCAGGAGCAATAATTTGTTCAGTAATGTTGCCACTTGACATAACAAGAGTCATAATTTCGTGACCAGTGTCAAGAGATTTCACCAATTTGCACTGTGTCTGTCATCAAGGCCACTCAAGTCAGAGGGTTGACTAACCAATAATCCTTTAGTGTCTCCGATATCGCTGTCAACAATAATGAATCAGAGGACATAAAATACAACCCAAAATTAAGGGTTCATGACTAATTCAGTCTGAAAACTGTGTCAGACAGAGCAAGAAGTCAGAAGATTCTAAAATTCTTGACTAGAGAGACACTTGCCACTAGCAAACTCCTCACATAATGAGGACAATAACTTTAGTTACAAATAATTGTATATAGGCCTTCAATATTAATTGTCAATAGTTGTTATAGTATTGTTTATAGAGCTTCTCATAGATTTATATAATATATATGTTTTAATTCTATATGCAGTAAATAATATGCAACCTAACCAAAATGTAAATCAATCAGCTATCAATCCGTATAGGAAGTTTCGCAATTACCGCAGCATGCTGTCTTCATCCCGATGGTGACCAAGGATTGATAACTGCATTAACGAATTAAATTATCAGCAAATATTCTGATAGATAAATGACAGTTCATTCTGTAAAACTTTTAATAATTGCTGAGTCACCATTCTCTTAACTGCTTAGTGAAACTCTTCTTTTGGACTTTATTTTAATAAAACCTTGTACTATTTAAGAATGCCTTTTATGCAGTGTGACTTAATGCAGTAGATTAAAGGAAGTAGCAAGCAAATGTTATCATAATATGTAAACTTAAATCCATATTCACCAGCTAACCTCCTGGAAAAACAGATGAAAATCCTTCATACCAGATCAAGACAGCTTCAGTCTTCCCTGGATAATCTGAAACCAGGCATCCATTTTTGCTTAAGATGCTAAAGATCCATTTTTGCTCATCCAATACTGAAGTATCTAATTCTCACTTCTGATAATGCTTGTGATTGTGTGATAAGAGTGTAAGCATTTTGTGTATAACTAGATAATATTCAGTGATGCATATGTTAAGTGAATTAACTGTGTGCTTTCTAATTAAACTGTGTGTCTTCAAGAAAATTTTATGCAAGTGTCCACTATTTCAGCATAGCAAACAAGACATGAAGGGAGAATTACAATGAGGTATGTTTATTTCTTTGCTTTCCCACATTTTATCTTGACTGTAAATCAGTGCAGTCAAACAACTGATCGGTTGAAAGCTCTGGACATTTTTGGTCGTGTTGCATGCTGAAATTAAACACTTTCTGTACTCCTCTATCTTTCTTTGAGAAGCAAAGCTGCTTTAAAAAATGACAGAGTCACAGGTTCAAAACATTTTGTCTGATCAGATCCAAAGAGTAGTTTGAAAATGCCACCACTTTGGATATCAAATATTACATTATGGCTAAGACAATGTGAAATTCAATTTGATCAGGGTGACATTACCAGCGATAGCACCAAATTTTCACATATTGTCGCAAATTTAGACACATCAGCTTTAACAAATGTCTCAAATGTAATCTTAACACCTTCTGAAATGAAAAATATCTGAATAACTTCGAAAAGCAGACTTGTAGTGAAATAGAATTCATAGGCCAATTAAAATTAGTCTTTGATGAATGTATTAATTTTCTTTTATCAAAAAGAGACATTTTTTAAGGCAGTTCATTTATTCTTTTGAAAGTGTGACTAAGAAATCAAAATATATAGACAATTTAAAATTAGGGAAAAGGCAACCATATATTGGCATAGATTTTGAATAAATATCTTTTGATTTCTAGAGCACTCAAATACAGGTTTCTCTTCTTCTGGATCAAAAATATTTTTGCAAAAAAGGGGGACAAACGTAGCTATTTTACATTGAAAGCAATGGGTGGTGCAAAGTGAAAAATTAATGTAGGGCCATCTATTTAGGAGAAAAAGTAATAAAACCCCCAAAAATGAGACAAAGAATTTTGAAAGCTTTAAGAAAAATTAGAATGGAATTAATATTTTATACTAATGATATATATATATATATATATATATATATATATATATTTCCAAATGTAAAATGCTTCAACGAAATTTCACTGAAATTTCACACCACTTCACTAACTAAAAAAGTTTTATTCATAATTTTCTCAGAACTAAAGTTAAAATTCGGTTTATAATTGAGCATTTAATCAGTCTTGACTTTAACTCAATGCAAATGATCCATAAAAATTCATCAATTGGTGAATTGGAATTTGGTTTGTTTTGATTATAGCAAAGTAGGTGTGGGCTATCTGTCTAAGAGAATGATGCCTTTGAGGAGGACTTTCTAAGAAAACCAGCTTGTATCCATGATACAAGCTGGGAAAACCACACACACACACAAACAAACAACAACAAAAATAAATAAATAAATAAATAAATAAATAAATAAAATAAAGCCTTTCAGAATTCTAATTTTGTTTACTACTATTTTTCTTAATAAACGGTGCTGTGTCAACATTCTTCTTTGCTCCAGCCATTGCTTTGTGTAAAATGGTTGCAGTCCTCTCATTTCTTGCAAAAAAAATTTTTTTTCAACCTAAAGAAAAAAAAAAGGACTTGCATATTCATTCATCCTTGAAATCAATGTAGTTTTATTCAAAATCTACACCAAACTAAGTTTTTTTTTTGGGGGGGGGGGTAGGGGCTTGTTCTTGTTTTAAATGTGTTTAATGTAAAGCGTAGTTTTAAATTTTGCATTGATGAGCATTAAAGTAAAATGCTAGCCATTCTTCCAGTCTGATTGATAGATGGACAAGTATTCTACTTTAATGCCTTTTCTGGAGCTTAACTTTCACCTAAACTCATTTCAGAAGGGGTTTCCCTCATGCCGTTAAATATATGCTATGTTTAATAGTTAAGTATTTTCAGCTAGCTCTGTCTTCCAGTTGATGTTATTTATAGCTCAAAAAAGATTTCATAAAATATTTCATGATCATTTTGATTTTATCTCCTACTTCTGAAATTAGTAGATGAAGGTGACAGATATTCAACCAAAAGTACTAATATAAATTTAGATTTACTCTATGTAATAGAGTGAATGTTAAGAGAAAATGTGCTTTAATGAAGAATTCATTAGTGTATTAATTTAGAAGTCAAATAACAAAAAATCAACATTATATTTGCAAATTTTCACTAGTTTTGAAACCATCGAAAGTAGTCCTATGAAAATTTTCAAATATAATGCTGATTTTTGTTGGAGTTCCAAATTAATATTTGTTCACCGTGTTATTTTAACCTAAATTCATTAGTGTAGTTAAAACTTATTTGGTTTGTTTAAAAATCCTCTTCTTTTATATTCAGGATGAAGTAAAAATTCGTATGCCTAACTCTAGCATGTTGTTTTTATTGTTATTGCACAGAAGGATAAAAAATACTGAATGTATTCATAAAGTTACTAGAACACTAAAAATTTGCAAAAGGCAGTAGCTCTTGTGCAAAAGTACTAAAGGCGACCACCTTCGCATCTCATATTATTCATTACCATTATTATTATTGTCTTTTTGTACAGCTTATATAAATATACCAGAGGAAGTTTCTAAGGAGATTTATGTGTGCTTAGAATTTTGTTAAAAAGAAGATTGAAAAATGTTATGTAATTAGCTTAGTCCACTCCTATTTAGAGTAATGACTTCACATTCAGAGACCGAATCTAGTATGTTATTTGTATATTTTTTTGCAAGTTAGATGACCCAATTGAAATTTAACTAAAATTGAAATTTAGCATTATTCAGAAAATAATGAAATTTTAAATTCTTTTTAGTAAATCAGCCAAAAATCAGGCACTCAAAACACTGTAATTGTTACTGAAAAAAATTTGCCTTTATAATGTTGAGCATAGAATAATGTAATAATTTCAACTAAAATGGCATGATGCACTAACTGCTTTTATGTATTTTATTTATCTGCTTGTAGAAGATATCAAAGTCATGTACAGAGCTTGTGTTTTCGGATATGCCTTGAATATTAGTGACATCTGGTGTGCTTTATTCTCAACTGATGAATTAAAAATCTTGGAATATGGTGATGACTTAGATGACTATTATAAAGATGCCTATGGAAATGAAATCAACCATCAACAAGCTTGCCCTGCTGTGGAATATGTAGTGAATTTATTGAAGTAATGTGTTAATTATTTATTCTATATATTTTGTACTAATTTATTTTATCATGCTCGGTATTGCCATATACATCAATGGATTTTAAATTTTATGAGTTTATAAATCCCTTTCATATGATGATCATTTTATGTACTTCCCTTAACCAAGTTTATACATTTTACTTAATAAAAGAAAATAGGATAAATAGGATCAGAAAATAGTTTCGTCTCTATAAGTTATTTATATTTCACTATATAAATGATTAGATTCTCAAGTTAAAAAAAATGTGAAAATTAACTTTGGCGATAATGTAAAAAGTATTGAAACTGATTTTTTTTAGAAGTAGATATATGTTTAATACTGTTTGAAAAAGGGCGGAGTGGGCCTTTTTTTTTAAACCCAAAAGGGAATGTTAGTCTTGAAGTGGGATTTTTGTCAGTTAATTGTAAATAGTGTATTACTTTTCAAAGTGTTGCCAGCAAATGTTAATGCTCAGTATTATTTTTAAAGGAATTACAAAATGAAGAATCTGCAAGTATGTATGTATGTTCCTCTCATTGTGAAAAAACAACAGTATCTAGAGCCATCAAATTTTGAATAATTGTAGTTCTCCACCCAAACGTGCACCTGCAAGCCCCCACAGATAAAATATTTTTGTCCTCCACATGCCAGCATATTGCTTTCAGTAAAGCTTAAATTTCTTTCAAATTTAATCTGAAGAATATTGAGTAATAAGCAATAATAATAAAAGCAATAAACACAGTTCTTAATAATTTTCTCTGCTTTTTAATGTGATTGATTTAAATAAACATGTATTAAAATCATGATATGTGTAATCAGAAGTATTAAATATTTTTATGAAATTACACTAGCTTATGTACTTTTTCTTTTTTATGATAACTTTTTAGGTGGCTAGTTTTTAAAGAAATAATATAGTGAATATAAAAAATATGTCTGGTAATCTCTAACACTTTGTCAGAAATTCTAATGCTATGCTTTTTAAAAATATTTTGTGATTTTGCTGTTGAATTTTATGTGAAGTAAGCGAGAAGAATGTGATATTAAATAAATAAAGTCAGCATATAAAATGTTTGTAGAAACATTAGATAAGCAGGAGTCATAAAAAATGTGCAGTAGACTCAAACCTTGGACCTCTCAAATACGCAGCAAGTGTGCTGGCCATTACACTATGAAGGCATGCTAAGAAGGCTGGAGAAATACCTTATAAGTTAATGATACTAAAAATCACAAAAAGAAGTTTTCCTTAGCCATTTTACTGAAAAAAAGTGAATATTGATATGCTGAACTGAGAAAAGGCTGTAAAAAACAGAAAAATGAATGTCATAACACAGCACTGGAAATTCTAAATGTGAGGTCCTATGCAGCTTTTAAACATTTTATGATTTTGTGGTTGAAATATATATTGCATAAGTGCAAAGAAAACAATGCCTAATAATAAAGCTAAAAAGGCAAAAGAAAAGAGGGTTAGCAGGAATGAGTGCAAAAACAGTCTGGTAAATTGAGAGCTCAGTGAGAACATTAAAAAACTTGTCAAACCCGTTTGGGCAACATTAAAAAACTTGTCAAACCCGTTAGAATCAGAAGCGTATTTTATTTCTTTTTTGCCACTAGATGCATGATGCCTCATTTGGTGTCTGAAATATCTATATGCATAAATGTGGTTCAACAACCAGCAAACATCATCACACATTGTTATGTAAATGAAATTAGAAGAAAGGTCTTAGCCAGAACATAAGTTGAGCATTAATTTGGTTCTTGTTGAGGACATCTGCTACAGAGAAATTTACCAAACTTATGTAAATTATTAGCAAAAGCTTCAATGAAAAATAAACAGTTACAGGTATTTTTCTAGATATTGAGAAAGCCTTCAATAAAGTTTGACGCTATGGATTTTTCATAAAATTAATGTTATAGAATTTCCCATTTTTGAGCTCATCATACTCATCTCAGATTATTTAAACATAGGACATTTTAAGTCAGGATCAATAATGGGATCTCAGTCTTAAGAAAAACTCAATCTGGAGTTCCACAAGGAGGAATTCTTACACTATTTTTGTTTAATATCTACATTAATGATTTTCTTAGAAGCACAAACTTGATTGCTGCCTACTATGCTGATGACACAGTAGTCTTATGTAAATCAATGAGCCCTCAGCTTGCCAGAAACACTGAATTGTATTAATCAAGTAATTCCTTGGTTCAATGCCTGGAAAATAAAAATCAGTATTTAAGAAAGCTGTATAATCTATTTTAGAAAATATTAGTAAGATTGAAGAAGAGATTAGTTATATTGAAGAAATCTCCATGAATGGTGGAATTATGCCATGTGGCTCCAAAGTGAAAATTTATGTATTCAGCTTTTATATTATCATGCATGTATTTTTCACAAGCAGATATTCAGAAAGTGCTTGTTCTTCAAGAAAGTGTATTAATCAAGTGTGTCTCTCATTTTCTTCACTCGAGACAGCAATAGATAGCGCCGCATGAAACAAGTCCCTGTCCTGTTCCATCACAAGAATTCCCTTAAATGAGACCAGTGCTTTTAGCCGAGCAGAACCTTGTGTTTTCACAGAATTTTTCTGAATTAACTACTGAAGACCTCAAGGGGACGAGTGATATGTGGGAGTGAAGGCCTAGACCAGGCCAAAGACTACTAGAAAATGCTGATCTTTTTGCAGAAGCAAAATGAAGCGATTGCTTAAGAACTTTTCCTATCAATACTGTGCATAACCAAAATCCAGAATTGCTTTCAGACTTGAATTAGTAATCAGTTCTTGTATCTCCCTTAAAAGTCCATGGACCATAGTTTGAGAATTGCAGATGTATATAAGACTTGGCGTGAAATGGTGTGAAATAAGGTGAGGACGAGTATTCAGTCCTGGGACTTTTACTCCAAAAATTGTTGACCCTACAGGGTACGTCGTAGTGAGTATAAAAGACCATTTTAAATAAAAGTGGAAAATTCTTGAGTCCTAGTTGCTCTCTAACTTTCTGAGGATAAAAAATTGTAAAAGCAAGTCTGCATAAGTGTCACCAGCTATCATAAGAGATTAGAGTTGTGCCAGAAAATTGACATTAGGGTTAATGATGCCTAGCGTGTCACCATCTATTGGTGGTTGAATGAGGTGTAGGAATTGAAGTCCGAGAAAATGACTGAAATAGCGAGTAAAACTTAATTTTTATCAATAGTTCAACTGTTCTAAATGCAAGTGACATCTTCTGGGAGAGATTTCGGGAAGTACAAAGTTTTTGAGCTATTTCTGTAAGTTGATTAATGAGATTGAAAAATTTGGAGGATTTCTTTAACTTGTTCTTCTGGATTTAAAATATTTTTTAAAGCATTATTGTGCTTTGATTTAGGAATATTGAATTTCAAATCACACAAGAGTTTGCTGTGATTTGGGTCTATTTTTGGTAGTGTAGTGGGAAAATCTTTGTCTGTAGGTGGGTGTGGCAGAGCTTTTGATTCTTGTTTCTATTCTGACTTTTCGAATCTTCTTTTATAAACTTCACATCCATGATAAGATGATACGTGCTCTTGAGAGCAAAATAAACATTTAGGTTTCTGATTTTCTTTGAGAGTGCTAGTATTACTTCTGTGGTTTCCGGTCCATTTAACACATTTAGTTTGTTTAAAGCAATTTGTTTGTGAATGGCCAAACAGTCTTTTCTTGGGGGTGTATTTTTCGATGATTATGTTAAAGTCAAACATATTGTTGAGTCTGTGAATATTTTCTTTTGCTGGATTGAAGTTCAAGAAAGTAAATCGGGAGTAGAATCTTATGGTTTTCAATTTTCCTTGAGAATTGCTTAACTTTAATTATCGGGAAGCCTCTTTTGAACAGATCGTCTTTTATTTTGGATTCCTTGATGGTACTGGGCATATTTTTTAAAATAACCTTTATAGTAGCTTCATTATCTAATTGGTAGGTGGGAAATCGGATGCAAGCTTTTCTACAGTAATTTGGAAGTCATCAGAATTTTTGGTTTGAAGGTAAATAACTCTATTTTTCATGTCAGCTTCGATGCTATCTTACAAAACTCCGTGCATATTTTGTGAATAGATTTCCAATCTGGATTTTGTTCAGTGATAACAATTGGTGGGATTTTAATTGAAGAATTATTTTCCGTTCTAGTCTTTTGGTAGAGAAGCAATTATATTTGTGTTTTCTTAGTATTATCTTTTATATTTTCTGCAGTCTGAGTTTCAAGAATTTGATTATTTATAATTGCATGTGCTGTATCATCTGCTACGGGATATCAAGAACTTGCTGATGTGATTTAGTCTTATCATCAATAGCTAGTAATACACGTCAATCCATAGCGAAAAGGTTTTTTCTCATTTTCGTGTCCGCTTAACAATTTTTCTCTATTGGGTGGTTTGGAGCTTCACTCATTTTAGCTCTCTGATTTCCTTTTTTCCCAGTTTTCATGTTGCTCGAAATGATACCGTTAAGTTATGCCATGGTGTGTCACCAATAATACCATAAAAATACTTACACACAAGTTTAGCTGAAATCGCTGTAAGAGGCGAGAAAAACTTGAACCTGTCTCTATAAGCTCAAGTGTTCAAGTGATGATGATGATGATGTAAAAACGAGAAAATGTGACTTGGGCTGAAATTGCCTGCACCTGGGTTACACTGAATATCTGCTATATCAATGCAGTAATTTTATATGTCAGTGGTATTTTATGTGAACAACCATTATCAAAATTTTGCAAATAATTTTCAGGCCAAGCATTGCTGAGACATATAGTGAAAAGTGTAATAATAGGAAAGTATAATAAAAAACATCAGAAATTAATTGTAAAATTAGACTTTGTTGCTAATTTATGTTTTATAGCAAATATAATGAAACCATAAGCAACAGAAATTGGCCATTAAATTAAACACCATAAACTACTTCCTCATTAATATTAATGTAATATAGAATTATTTTTACAGTAATTAATTTTTGATCATCCCTCACATCCAAGAACTAAAAAACAAAACATCAGC